CCTGATCGATAAACCCTAAACCCTAAACCCTAAACCCTAAGCCCTAAACCCTAAACCCTACTTCACTATTTGCTCTTTCTCGTAGAAGTCGTTCAGCGCCTTTGAGAGCTTATGCTCGTTCTGAAACAAAAACCCCAAACCCCAAACCCTAAACCCTATACCCTAAACCCTCACAATCAGTAGTCCACTGAAGCCTAGCATTAGGGTTTAGGGTTTAGCGCTTAGGGTTTGGCGTCTAGGGTTTGGGGTTTAGAGTTTAGGGTTTAGTGTTTAGGGCTTACTCTAAGGATACGAACTTTCGCCTTCTGCGTCTGCACCGTCTGCTGCTTCAGTGCAGTCAGTTTCTGCATCCACAAACCCTAAACCCTAAACCCTAAACCCTAAACCCTAAACCCTAAACCCTAAACCCTGAAAGCCCCAAACCCTAAACCCTAAACCCTCAACGCCGCCGCCTTCTCTGCAGCAATTCTTCCACGTGAGTGAATTGCTGCTGCGCGTTTTGATTCCGAATTCTCCATATCAAGCCCAAACCCTAAACCCTAAACCCTAAACCCTAAACCCTAAACCCTAAACCCTAGGGGGACTCACTTGTGTGTAGTGGACGACCTCTCTTGCGGCTACGTTTCTCTTGTTTAAAAGCATCTGAAACGCAAACCCTAAACCCTAAGCCCTAAACCCTAAAATTTGAACCTTAAACCCTATCCCTTCCAAGAAGAATGAGTCGCCAAATTAGGGTTTAGGGTTTAGGGTTTAGGGTTTACCTCTGCACGCCGGATCCTCCTGAGCATTTCCGCCCCTCCAAACAAAGCGTTTTCGATGTTGGGGACCTTCAACACAAAGCAGCAAACTAGGACTTTAGGGTTTAGGGTTTAGGGTTTAGGGTTTAAGGTTATGCTGCTGCTGCTCCTGCTGCTGCTGATCACGCTGCTGCTGCTGCTGTTGGGCTTGCTGCTGCTGCTGGGCTTGCTGCTGCTGCTCCTGCTGCTGGTGACCTCGCTGCCGCTGCTGCTGCCGTTGGTCTTGCTGCTGCTGCTGCTGCTGATTTTGCTGCTGCTGCTGCTGCAGCTTACCAAGTCTAGCATTGTCTTCCTAAAGCAGTCCTGAAGCGCACGACGCACTCATCCCTAAACCCTAAACCCTAAACCCTAAACCCTAAATTATGAAACCTGGGCTTGAACTCCCACATAGGCTGCCTACATCAGCCCCTAGCCCCTAACTCTAAACCCTAAACCCTAAACCCTAAACCCTTCTTCACCCTAGAGCCATTTAAACCCTAAACCCTAGAGGCTGTCAGGCTATTTCAGCCCCTCCGAAGCCGCAAAAGCCCCAATACTGAACCCTCGCAAAACCCTAAACCCTAAACCCTGAAGCCCGCAAAATCCCTCCTGCGAAACCCTCGCAAACCCTAAACCCTACTAAACCCTAAACCCTAAAACCTAAACCCTCACGACCCCAAAAGCCCTCCTCTAAAACACCAAACCCTACACCCTAACGGCAGCGAAATCCCCTCCAGCAAACCCTCGCAAACCCTAAACCCTAAACCCTAAACCCTAAACCCTAAACCCTAAACCCTAAACCCTCACGCAGTAGTGGGCGAAGGGCAGCAGCGCAGCTTCATAAGGAGTGCCGGCAAAGAACTCTCCGACGGCGGAGTTGGCGCTTCCGTGCAATTCGACTAAATCTGAAAATAAAAAATAAAAACAAAATTGGATGTAAAAGAATAAATAAAAGATATTTGAATTAAAAAGGAGAAATAAAAGGTAACTGAACTCACAAGAAGAAATAAAACTCTTTTTCAATCAGTTTGAGGGTTTAAACTTCTTCAAAAAATAAAAAAATTCAAATGGTTCAAACGTCTGCAAAAACCCTCAAAATGCTGAAATTCAAAAAGATTTAAGTGTTGGAATAAACGAGAATTTAAAAGACAAAATAACGGTGGATTTAAATAAATAAATGAATTAATTAAAGGGGAACTTAAACGCCAACGTAAACCCTAAAAAAGGGTTTTCGAATGTCTCTTTCGGGCCGAAAAAGCTGCAACTTCGCGCCTTTTCGCTGCAGCGCAGCAGCAGCGCTTCCCTCGGTTTTCAGCTTTAAAGCCATCAAATGAACCCCAAATAGACCCTTTTAAATTCATTTAATTAATTTAATTTAATTTCCGCATTTTAAGATTCCTTTTCTGCTTTTTTTGAGCCAAAAAACGCCCGGAATGACCCCAGGGCCACTCGCGCGCGCAACAGCAGCTGTATGTACACCCCACGTTGAGAAAAGTCGCAAACTCCAAATTGCCAAATTCAAAATCAAAAAAGAAATTAAAAGAAATCAAAGAATTAAAAGAATTAAATTAATCAAACAATTAAATATATTGAACCAATTAAATATATTTAATTAATTAAATGAAGTAAATGAATTAAATGAATTAACACAAATTACCAAAAACCAAAATGCAGGAAGCAAAAGTCCGCCCACTGGCCAGCCAGCGAAACACCAAATTAACCACCTAGTTAAATAATTAATTAAAAGCCAACAAAAGCTGCTGCTGCTGCTGCTGCTGCTGCAGCAGCTGCTGCTGCTGCTGCTGACCCTGCATGGCCTTTCGAAAGCCCTTGAGGAAGCTGTCGAGTTTCTTGATGAGTTCTCTTTCTCTTTTCAAGTCCAAAGATATTTCAAAACTTATTTTAAAACAACTTTCGAGTTGCTTCTCAGCAAACGCCACAAAAGGGAATACCCCAGACTCTTCCTTGGGGGCCCCCCCCTCGGGGGCCCCCTC